CCTATAAAAATATTTCAAAATAGGAATTTTACTATTTCTATATATGTCTTTTCTATATATCACAGAGTATCTTAAAATGATGCGCCGTCAATTTAACATTCAAACGCAGATAATTCTGGTGGACACAAATGGATTTGAAGGCTCAAATTTGACAGTGAGCTTTGAACACTATTACCCATTAGCTCAGCTAATAGATTACAGTTTCTGAGACTAATTGGTCAAAAAATGGCCTACTTATCCCTTAAATACTACAATCATATCATTTTTTTGTGCCATTTACAACTTATCCTCTAGTTTCAATTATGGAGTGCTATTTTCTGGTCATGAAAGAATGGTTTGATATTTGGATTGTTGATTTATTTTTATTTTTCAGCACAAACCAAAAGAACCAGCATTAAAGATGAGACAATATTTATTTATGATGAAGGTAAGGATTTAGATACATTAACTTATCTTTAATCAAATTGGATTGATTGAGTTATCCATCACATTTTAATTGGATGGGACAACACAATTCATTGCAGGTAGAATAGGAGATAACAAGTTAAGTTAATGTCTGGAATTATCATATTTCAAAAGATGGCAAACAATTGTCTCAAACAAATAAGTAGAGATGTTTCAATGCAAAGTATATGGTACAATGAAAATTGTTATAATGAAAAGTATAAATGTTACAATGAAAATTGTTTTAATGAAAAGTATAGATGTTACAATGAAAAGTATAAATGTTACAATGAAAAGTATAGATAGATGTTACAATGAAAAGTATAAATGTTACAATGAAAATTAGTACAATGAAAATTGTCATAATGAAAAGTATGAATGTTCCAATGAAAAGTATAGATGTTTCAATGAAAAGTATCTAGATGTTTCAATGAAAAGTATAAATGTTACAATGAAAAGTATAGATGTTACAATGAAAAGTATTAATGTTACAATGAAAATTGTCATAATGAATAGTATAAATGTTACAATGAAAAGTATCTAGATGTTTCAATGAAAAGTATAAATGTAACAATGAAAAGTATAGATGTTTCAATGAAAAGTATATGTTCTTGTAATAGTTTCGGAAGTGATGAAACAAATTAGACATTCTGAGTTAAGAAGGGCCCCAATAGAAATGTGTTAGTCATAATATTAGTTAGTTATTTACTTTTTTGACAGTTTTAATTGTATTTAAATTGAAATGTATTATTTAAATGTTTCTTCAACATTCCAACTTGTTAGCTGCCTGGGGTTCTATGTCTGTTTCTGAAATTCCAAGATGGAATAAAAAATGTTGCTATTACATTCCATTGTAATTATACATTAAGTCATTGTTGGTTGAGATCATTCCAATCTTTAATGAAAAGAAATGTTTCAAGTTAAAATGTGTTCAAATAAAAAGCAAAAATTGTTGGTTAAAAGTGTAAAAATTGTGATTGAAATTATGTGCCATTAAGTTCGAATAAAAAGCATAAATATTTAAATTGAAAGTATAAATAATAAATATTAAGATGAAAAGTCGAAATATTTCAGTTAGTAGTAGAAATAATTATGACAATAAAAAGTACCGGTATTGATGTTTCTTTGAAAAGTATAAATGTTACAATGAAAAGTATAAATGTTACAATGAAGAGTATAGATGTTATAATGAAAAGTATAGATGTTACAATGAAAAGTATAAATGTTACAATGAAAAGTATAAATGTTACAATGAAAAGTATAGATGTTACAATGAAAAGTATAGATGTTACAATGAAAAGTATCATTTAATTATATATTCAATGCTTTTATTGATTGTAGGATTTAAAGTTGATAAACAATGATTTAGATCCACAAGCAGTAATAAGAGTATTGTCATCAGATGATCCTAGTGTTGATGATTCTGAAGGATGTTATAATCTAGAACTAGAGGTAAGATATTACAACAGGACTACAGAGTGTCATGTGGAATCTGTGTCTAAATATTAACTATGAATTGTAGCATAGCGCAACCCAAAGTAGAGCAATAAGACCAATGACATTATAAGACTGCCAATGATTGGTGGGAAAACGGGGTGTGATTGTCTGTTGTAAATAGCTTGAAACGTCACCATTTTTTCTGTATAAACAATATTTATTTACATAATAGGATTAGGGAACAGGCTTTCGCTATCCTCTTACGTGACCTTTGGTATGATTCTTGTAAGATTACACTGGAGACCGACAAAAAAAATAAAAACGAAATGAAATTGTTATCTAATTTACTTAACATACCTCTATGTTGCAGATGACTTTCTTGGAGTTTTTTGAAGCATTAATTGGCTGTGCTGAGATATTTGTAACAGAAGCAGTAGTTAAAGATCCTGCAACACCTCGACCAAGTACAGCTTTGACACAAGATCAAAGCATGTACTCTATACCAGTAGCTCCATCTAGGTTGACAAGTCATGTGAGTTATCTTCTCCTTTCTACTGCAGTTGGTTTTATGAATCATCATTTCCTTGTCAATTAGT